AAAGGCCCCCCCCCCCCCCCCCCCCCCCCCCCCCACGGACCGCGATTTTCGATCAGTAGGCCTATGTGTCTTCCGAAAGACTCTTGGTAGCGGCGAAAGTCGTTGTTTTTGTCCATCACGTTGGAGCAGCCTTGCTGCTACTACTCTGTTGTTGTGGTCTCGTCATCGTTGATGTTGCTGCTTGTCTTGTTGCTATGGTTGCCGTGTGGTTGTTGGAGTAGAGGCGAAAGTCCTTGTTTTTGTCCATCACGTCGGAGCAGCCGTTGCTGCTACTGTTGTTGTTGTTTTGGTCGTCATCGTTGATGCTGCTGCTTCTCTTGTTGCTATGGTTGCCGTCGGTGTTGGAGTAACGGCGAAAGGCATTGTTTTTTTGTCCCATCACGCTGGAGTCCCGCATACAGCCGTTGATGGTGTTGCTGCTGCTGTGGTTGTCACTGTTTGTGTTGCTGCATTTAGTTGTTGTAGCGGTGACAGCGATCGCTGCGTTTGTCCATCACGTTGGAGTCGGCTCGAGCAACCGTCTTTGTATCCTAAATAGTCCCCCCAAGCCTAGGTCTCAAAGCGGGTGGCTGCTTCTATTCGTGGCGCGACTGCTTCGACGTGTTTCATGTATCGAGCCATTAGTACGAACTCCCCCTCTTGGCTCGCCCCTGTATTCCCAGCTCAGGCTTTGGTTTTGGAAGAAATGTTTTTCTCCAGACCGGCAAGTCGCACGAAATTGCCCAATCAGAAGCTGTTGTCCAAAATTGCCGAACCAAGAGCAGTTGTCTATGGTATCTTCTCAATCAGAAACTGTTGCCCAATCAGAAGCTGATGCTGTTCTTGGTATGTACCTGTGGTCGACAAAACCTGCGGCAGGACCTACGGCTGCGCGTACTGCGCCTCCCACACGGCGGTGATGGGAACGGTGTGGAAGGGCAGCGGCTTGACCCTGGACAAGAACGCGATGGCGATGGACGCGGAGCCTAGCCCGGATGTGTTCAGCCGCAAGGAGCTCGCGGCGATCAACATCGCCAAGAAGGTACGGCGTTGTTCGGAGTAGCATGTGCGATGACAAACGTGCACGTGTTTTCGTCGGCCGTGCACCACCCTCTTCCTATCGCGACCGGTGGAGAAAGGCGTCGAAGAAAAATAACAACAACGACAACGACGCGCCAGCGACACCTCTGACGCCAACGATGTTGGGACATCTATCTGTCACTCTACCCCCAGGTCGGAGCCGTCCCGTCTACCGTAACGACGGCCGACATCGAGATGCTCGCGACCACCTTCACGCCCAAGGAGCAGGAGGCGGTGGTCAACGCGTGCACCATCATGGGCTTCCTCAACCGTTTCATGTCCGTACAGCAGCATGCTTCCCGCTCTTGTTTTATTTTTTTCTCTTGCGTTTGTTTGTGTTGTATTCTACATAGCTTTACACTATTTTTGATCTCTGGTGTTGGTTGTGCGGGTTTTCGGGGGGGGTTTCCTGCCCGTTATCTGTGCGTGCTGAGTCGGGTGTGTGGTGATGGGTAGGGGTGGTTTTTATGAATTTGATGCGGGCGGGCAATGATGTGGTCATAATCGTGGATGTCTTGGGTGTTGGCTATCTTTTCGACGCCTCTTCCCTGGCCGCTGCGGCCTGCGTGACATCCACCCCGGCCCTCCTTTGGCTGAACAGAAGATTACACGATGTTCAGTGCGTTGTCCCTGTCTACTACTATGCAATTGTCGTTCAAACGATGTATCGGTGTGTCGTGACAATAAACCCTGTCTGCCCTGCTGTTTTACGCCCTACCATGTATAACCCCACCGTTAGGGATGCCTCCGGCATGACCCTCGAGATGGAAGCAATCGAGACCTCCCTGCAAAAGCTCGCGCCAAGTGGCTGGGCCCCTAATGTTGCTTATGACAAGGACGCTGACGCTGAGCTGATGAAGGAAGACAGGATGGAGGCCGCGAAGCGGGAGAAGAGAAAGAAGGGCTCGGGCTTCTTCGGATGTGAGGGGTTTTTTGTTGCAAGCGTTTTTCTGTTGCTGCGAGTGTTGGTTGTGTAGTGCCAAGAGTATTTTTTTCTGGCAGAGAGACACTCATTTACACCAATTTACACCAATAGGTGAGCGCTTTTTGCAAGCGTTTGTCGCTTACGTACGTTGTTTGTGAAGTGAGTTTGTTTGTTTTCTTGCGTGCGTTTTTCTGTCGTATTGCGAGTGTTTATTGTGTAGTACCAACAGTGTTTTTTTCCTTTGTATGGATAGGTATGAGTTTTTTGCAAGTGTTTGTTGGTTGCGTTATTTGTGTAGCACGAAGACTAGGGTTGCTGGCAGAGACAAGACAACGCATGTACACAATGGTGTAGGTAGGAGTCCAGGGTGTTGCACGGTGTGCGCATGCGCACGTTTTGTTTAATTTTCTGTTTTGGGTACCGTATAGAGCATGACACAAGATTACACCCCGCCCCCGGACCAATTTTCAAAGCTCGATTACGTCACGACGAAGAGGATCCATACATGAAACAATACATTTTCGGAAAGCTCTCGACAAAACAGCTTCTTCAACGCCACCGTTTTCAGTGCTGTGACTCTTTCTGCTGTTGAGAAATCGAGATTTGAAAATCGGTCCAGGGGGGGGTTTGTCTTGTGTCATTTACGGTAGGCATATGTACTCGTGCAAAACGCCGGGTGAAGTCTGCGCCGCGAAGAAAGGTGGCCGGCCGGCCGGCCTCCTTTCTCTTCCCCTCGAGGTCTTGAGTTCTTGAGGTCTAGGTTCCCGTGTCCAAGGCATCGACGTCCGAACGCGACTGCTATGCTACATGTACTGCTGTAGTAAGCGTTTTGTGGTGTTGGCCTATTGTAGGAGCCTAGATCATCCCTCGGTCCATGTCATACACGGTGACGGCGGTTGTATCTATGCCCGTGCCTGCCCCCGTCTGCCCCATTCACCTGCCTCGTGCCTTCGTTTCCCCACCTCGGTCTATTCTTACGCCTTCGTCCGCTGCATCCACTTGTCTTCGTTTTCCCACCTTGGTCTACTCTGTGCCGTCGTCCGCTGCATCCACCTGTCTTCGTTTCCCCCCACCTGGGTCTTAAAAAACTCTACGTGCCTACCTCATCCACCTGCCTTCGTCTCTCCACCTTGCTTGCCCCTGTTTCCGCTGCTGGTTACCGGCGGCGGTGCGTGCGCAGTCGTGAAGATGATCTTCGGGGGAAAGATGGCCGACAACCGGTCCCTCAAGAAGATTCCAACCTCGGACGCGGCTCTGTTCAGCCAGTGCAAGAAGGACGGCGGCTTCGTGCCCTACTACATCCGGCAGATGCAGCACGCGACCGCGAAGAAGGCACTTTCGTTCGGGTTCCTCCTCAGGCTGTGCCAGGGGTCGGACGAAGTTCCGGTTCAACTTAAGCAGGTACGTAGTTGCCCGTACGTGCCAGGAGGTTGTAGTCGTGGTTTGTGGAGGTGTCGGATTTTTTCCCCTTTCTTGTTGCTGGTGGTGGTGGCGGTGTTGGTTGCTGTATTCCGACAGCTGTTTTTTTTGGGGTGTTGCTCTAGTCGCTCTCCCAGCATGAACCGACTGTCCCTCCTACTGCCCGTTTACCCGATAATCAAAACTTAAGTTTCACCATGATTCCCGCCAGCCGCAAGCATCGCAATAGTTTCACCATGACCCCTCCCCTGGCCTGGTGAGAACCCGGCGTGCTCCGTCCCGGCTTTGTAGGGATGCGAAGTCAATGACCTAACGACTACGGCATTCACGGCTACGAGTACCCCCCCCCCCTATAGGCTAGGGATAACATTTTTTTTGCCATCTTTGACAAAGTAGGAAGCAACGATTGGCCATTGGTGATAGGTCCTGTGGGAACAATGCACCGTATTCTCAAGACACGTTGTCAACGGTCTAACCGCTAAGACATGCGAAGCATAAGAGAACGCCCCCCCTACCCCCCCGAAAAAAACGCCCCCTCAGCTCATGGCCTACCAGTGCGCCACAAACGCGGAGAACAACGTCCTCCGGGCGCACTTCGCCTTCATGGCCATGCGCAGCGGGGTAACCCTGTCGAGGCTGATCCAGGTGACGGATATTACCTCAACTGGTGGAGGGGAGAGCGCGGCGGAGGACGCGGCCATGGCCTTCGCTCAGGCGGCAAGGTGTGGTGGACGGTAGAGGTCCCTGTTTAGTGCCTGTACATATGTACCCAGGAAATTCACCGGTACTAATCAAAGTGTACACGGGAGATATGTACCACTACATGCTGCTCGGGGAACCGTAGAAGTACAAGTTGGCCGTCATACAACGCTTTGAATTCATTGGTGGTCTATCCCGGACTTTTCTGTGGAAGAGTTGCCTTTGCTGTGGTTCTGCCCTGAAGAAGAAGAAAAAAAGTTTCAGTAGAGCAACGGAAAACGTGATCTTGTTTTTCTCTAATTTTTCGGGTGTATTGCGATGACAAGACGTGTGTCCGCGTCCGATTTTCCTTGTGAACTAACCCTGCCCGTCGTTACTTTTTATTATGCCGCTTTTTCGCTTTTTTCATGTTTTGTTTTTTTTTGGCACCCGTTTTTTTCTTGATGTGCAGCTGGACGCCCACGCGCATGACGGCGGCCCTCGCCGGCCTGATCTCGCGCCTCTTCTCTCCCCCCGCGGTGATCGAACTTCTCATCACCGTCTCGGTGGAGTTCGCGATACACCGGTGGACCTCGGTCTACGTCCCGCGAAGGTACAAAGGACAAAGAGATAGCGGCGCCCAATCCACCCCCTTCTTGGTCTGATGACGAAATTTCTCTCTCTTTTTTTTTTTTTTTACCGAACAGGACTGGTTTTGAGTGAAGCGCATGTTTCTTGCAATATTTTTTCTCCTATAAGGCCAGCAGGCGCCAAACCGGGAACTACACGCGATTTTCCCCCCCTCCCGGCCAACGGCGCCCTTGCATATAAACCTCAGCGACGTTGTTGTCAACGCCTGCCTTCGTATTTTTTTGTGCTGTCAGGCACGACTCGTGAGTTGCGTCCTTGCATTCACCTGGAGAGACGTTGTTGTCGACGCCAGCTTTTTTCATTTTCTTTTTTTTTCTATCAGGTACGAGCCGCAAATCGACGAGTTCGTCAAGGAGTACGGGCCGGCGCTTGGAATCCCCCACAGCCCTTGCACAGTGGACCAGCAAATGTGGGAAGAGATTGCCGCCCAAAAGCGCAAGCAGTAGTGCAACCGACCATGACTTACGTCGAGAGCAACTACCATGGCACATACGTTTCCATGTAGCAAAGACGTGCAGGTAGCGCTGGATCCTTCGTTTTTGTTGTTTACCTGTTTTCGTGATCCCGTAACAATGAAAACTAGGCCCGGGGATTTGTGGGGGGAGGGCGCAAGTGGTCCGGGGGGGGGGGGGGGGGGGGGGGACCCTTAACCGGGGGGTTGCCCTTTTCCCAAAACCCTTTTTTTTCCCCCCCCAAAAAACCGGGGGGGGGGGGGGCGGGTTTTTCCCGGACCAGGGAAAACAATAAAGGCGAAAACCCCCGGGGGGTTTCCGCGAACCCCGGGGGGGTTTTTAAAAAAGGGGGGGAAAACGGATTTTTTTTTTTTTTAAAAAAAAAATTTTAAAAAAAACCAAAAGGTTTTTTTTTTCAAATTTTTTTTTTATAAATTTTTTTTTGGAAAGCAACCTTTTTTGATTTTTTGGGAAAACCCAAAAATTTTTCCCCCCCCAGCTTATTTTTTAAAAGGGTTTTTGAAAACCCCCCCCAAAAAAAACCCCGAAAATTTTTTGGAATTTTCCCAAAAAATTTTTTCCAAAAAAGGGGTTTTTCCCTCCC